CTGTGTGGAGTTTGCATGTTCTCCCCGTGTCTGCGTGGGTTTCCTCCGGGTACTCCGGTTTCCTCCCACAGTCCAAAGACATGCAGTCAGGCCAATTGGATGTGCTAAATTGCCCCTAGGTGTGATTGTGTATGTCTGTCTGTCTGCCCTGCGATGGACTGGCGACCTGTCCAGGGTGTATCCTGCCTTCCGCCCAATGACAGCTGGGATAGGCTCCAGCACCCCACCGCGACCCAGAAGGATAAACGGTTTAGATGATGTATGCATGTATGTTGTAGTGTTACTTTATATGTATTTATGTAATTTTTCAAATACTTTTTAGAAAAATAAGCTGCTCCACTCCTCTCACTGTTCCACACTGTAAAAAGTGGCTCATCAGATCTACCTAAAAAATTACTTCATGTGGTTACTTTACTTGTTACCACATGAAGTAATTTTTTTAGGTAGATCTGACAAGCCACTGTTTACAGTGCACATAATTGGCTGTTTGTCCTAAACATTACGCTTTGATGTTCATAACCGCAGTTACATTTGTCATTTGTTTCGAAGCTGAAACTTGGTCAGGAACTTGGACTTAGTTCAAGTACTAAACAGTTCATATATTGAGCTCATATAATGAAAGGTATAATGGATTTCCATTAAGCAGTGATACCTCACAATGCTCTGAGGCCTCATTAAGCTGTGATGGGCAATTAAATTATATTACCCTCTCATCATATTTAACACTCTGAACTGAATACCTATTGCACTTTGCAAAACTCCACTTTTAATGAACAGTTTTATGAATTTGCTCTTTTGTGAAAGCAAAATTTAAAGCAAACAGAATCCCTCCTGCTGCTACAACTGGCTTCAGCTTATAGCTTCCTCTCCAGTATGACATAACGCAAGGACACAGTTACCTTCCAGATCTCTACCGCCATTAAAGAGAAAAAAAACAATGACACTTGTGTGCTCTGCTTTTCCTCAGACGAAGATTTTGTAGATCTAAACCAAAACGTTCTCTCTGGCAGAGAGAAGAGAGGAAGGAATGTCATTTGTGGACTTGTCAAATTCGATGAAATACAAATGAGTTAAAGATACACAAAAGTATTAGACTCTGTCTCTCTTCCGCTCGCTCTTTCCCTCTCGCTCTTTTTCATTCTCATTTCTCACTGTATTTCTCTCTCTCCATGTCCCGCTCTCTTACTCTCTCTTCGTCTCTTTTCCTTTCTTTTCCTCTCTCCCTTCTCTATCTGTGGTTTCTCTCATTCAGTCTCTTTCATTTCTCTCTTTCTCTCTCATTTATCTCTTTCATTTGTCTCTATCTGATCTCTCTCTCTCTCTCTCTGTCCCTTTCTCTCTGATTTCACTCCCTCTCTGCCTGTCCCTTTCTCTCTGATCGCTCTCTCTCTCTCTCTCTCTTTCACTCTTTCTCTCTCATTCTCTCATTTCTCTCTTCATCTCTTTCCTTGTCCCTCTCTCTTTTCTCTCTCATCTCTTTCTCTTTCTCTAATTTGTATCTCTTATCTCTTTCACTTTATCTGCCCATCCCTTTCTCTTTCATTTGTCTCTATCTGATTTCTCTCTCTCTCTGTCTCTCTCTCTCACTGTCCCTTTCTCTCTGATAGCTCTCTCTCTCTCTCTCTCTCTCTCTCTCTTTCTCTCTCATTCTCTCTCCTACTAATGTGTGCCAGAACTTTTGCACAGGCCACATTTTATGTTTTTATTTTTTAACAATATGTTAATCAATATGTCAAATATATAAAACCTGCAGACACTGAACCGCCACACATTTCCTTCAGCAGTGGGATGAGCAGCACTCTGCTGCCGCAGCGTTTACTGGCTCACTGTTGTGTAACTGTGTGATGCTCTGTCACACACATTCACATGTCAACTCCAATTATACACTTTCTGACAGCAGACTGTACGCCATGAATGTTTAAATATAAAGCTGAGATTTACAGAAGAGGCCAAGCAGATTTGAACATGGAGTTTGGTTTTGATTGAACGTTATGCTTTTGTTAATTAACACAGTGTAGATGTCTGATGTTTTAATAAAATACAGCATGCTTCAGTAAACACAACAGATTAAAGGTTTAACAGTAGTGAAATTGCTACCAAGAGATGGAGCAAAGAGAAGGAGCTCTGTGGACCAGTGCCTGAAAATGAATTTCCATGACATTCATCTGAAAAAAGTCTTTAGAACTGCACTACATGCTAAAGTTTTAGCCGCTCACCATATTAACATTTTTTTAAAAAATATACAATAGTTTCTACAGCGTGGTTTTAAATATAATAAACTATTAACCAAAAGGTGTTTGTAAAGATCTTAATAAATATTTAAATATTCTGTAAAGAAGAAGTGAATAAATATAAGTAATAAGTGGTTGTTATCATTCGGCTACAGCAGACCTTATGCATATGCAGATTTCTGGTTGGCAACTGTTTATCAGAAGCATTTGAACTAGTAATTGTACCAAGTTTTGAATTAGGTTTATTTGGGCTGTTTAGCACAGATTTGGTAGATTTGGTAACTTACTCCAACAGTCTTAAAGCTATTTTTGCTGCAAAAGGTGGTTTTGTCAAGTACTAGTCTGAAGGGGTTGAATACTTATACAAGAAACCTTTTTTTAAAAGATCTGCTGAGAAATAATGAATTTTGATTTTGGAAATTTACGTTAAGAGCGTTTTGGTTTGCAATAAAAAAAAAAATACTGTCTGGAACAGTATGTGTAAGTGTAATTTGTAATCCACATGAATCTGATGACTTTTAAAGGGATTTAATACTTTTGCAAGGCACTATATATACTTAGAATCTTCTGTGGCTCTCGTTCTGGACAAATCTTTCTTCATTAATGTGTACAGCTTGCCATTGTGCTGCTCATTATCTTGCACAAGACTAACATACTAAAATCTAAAGCCAAACTGGTTTTAGAGTACTAAAAAACATTAATTACAGACTTTTGAACAGTAGTGTATATCTTGGGTATTTTGATTAGTCTTGTCACTTATATAATCCAACAACTAATTTTGGTCAAAGTGGCCAGTGTTTAACTGTGTGACATCTGTGGTGTATTTGTAATTTTAAGATGTCACAAGGCATATTACGATTGCAATATGTAGCAGTAGAATTGCTGTTTATTTTTTTTTCCATAATGTACGGACCCACCTTTATTATAACATAGCTATGGACAAATGACTATGGCCATTGTAGAGGCATGGTGAGGTTAAAAGCTTATTTGCAGAGGTTAACCTTTCATTCAATGCTGTATTCCAGGGGCATTACCTCCAACTATTCATAACTATTTTCTTCTAACCCCTCTAAAATGTAGATGTACTATAACCTATGTAAATGCTGTTCTTCTCTGTGTAGGCATATCAGTGGAGATACCCATCACTACAGCAATCAAACATGCTGTCTCAGCTCTCTTTCTCTTTCTCTGTTCTGCATGTAGATGTGTGATGTCCTTGCTAGGGGTGACAGCACTTCAGCAGTCTCAGTGCAGCACACTTAAAACTTCTGCTATTGCTACAGCTTGTTCAGTTCACTACACAGGACAGTTTTAGCCTTTGCTGGATTGTAGCCTACCTGGATCTGTTCTCAGATGGATGTAGATGAATGCTGGAAGTGCTGTCAAAACGTCTCAAACCTGTGGGTAGTACCTGTAGATTTGACAGTAGTACCAGTGCCAGGCCAGGCCTGTGTATATTACCAGTCTGAAGAGATTCCTTCAAGCAGGAAATGTGCTTACTCTTCATGGGGCTTCTCATGCGTGGGCAATATGGCAATATGTTTATGTTATTACAGTAACTTGTGTCACAATATGCTTTTCGTTGTATTTCATAGGCATCGTCAGTACTTCTAGTTCTTTAACTTTCCCTTACATGGCCAGGGCTCGCCAGCAGGCCCAAAGTTTTATTACACACTTTTATAACCTATGAATAGCTCAACCACTTTGCATTGAAGTCCTTGTAGTTACTGAATAATAAGCCTTAGTATGTAATAAGACTGGGATTTTAAGGGGTGATTTTATTAATCTATACAGTGCATAAACTGTAACAAGTAGCTAATAGGATAATCAGTTTATTGTGTCATTATTTTATTTATTTATTTATTTTTACAGGTTAGATTTTGTAGTTCCTGATCCTCCTGAAATACTGTATTTTACAGTAGTTCACTTTGGTTTAATTTGTCAATTTTAACTCTGCAGCCCTGAGAAAAACTGTGCAAAAATGAATATTTTCATATGTTTTTGTAATATTGGCCAACCTTAGTGTTTTTCAGTTTGCCCACCTCAGTCCATAGTCTGGAGTACAGCTGAGGCTTTATTATGTGTGGAACTGGATCGTTTGGCAGTTGCTGTCAAAAAAACTGTGATGCTTGTTATAACAGACGTTGAGCTTCATGGACATGTGTTTACAAAGTCAGGCGTTTTTTACCTCCTAACTGTAAAACTTGCTTTTTAGTTCTGTACCAGCCACAATAGTTCATTATCACTTTTTCAGAGGTGACGGCAGCTTTAGTTATTATTGTCATGCATGTTAAATGTAGAGATTTAACATAAGTAATAACCTAGTTATTACAATTAATAACATAGTTATTATGTTTACACTCAATCTGCATGCTGTATTGGTGGGTTTGCATCTGCATGTTGTTTCGTTTTTCATTTGTTTTAATGTTTTAATGAAAAAAATTGGGCTAAAATGTTCTCATTTTTGTAAAACAACACAAAAACAATACAAAAATAACTTTGGCCTCAATTTTACATAATATAATACTGCTTACAAACACAAATGTAGTATTGATATAAAGTTAAGAGTCTGCATTTTGACAGAGTGTCTTCATTTGTTTCAACAAGCTCAAATGAAAAATTGTTAATATGAAAATAAACCATGCTGTTATTATCACTGGGGATATCAGCAACTTCTAAGACTTGAAAATCTGATCTGATATATATTCTGAGGTTCTGGTTGCATCTCAGACTCCAGAGTCACTGACATGCACTCTGTACCCTCTACAGGGCATTAACATCGTGGGGCCGAGTAATGCAGATCCACCTGCCCCTGTCCACCCCGGGATGTACCAGCTGGACATCGTGCTGAAGAAAGGGAATAATCTCGCAATCAGAGACAGAGGAGGTATGCTGGCTTTTATTTCTTCTCTGCCTCACTGTAAAGATTCAGAGCAGAGAACAGTTGCTCAAACTCTAGAGGGTGCTCACAAGCAAGTCCAAAATGAATGAGTTAAGGTGGAGCATGTGAGCAAAATCATAGTTTCTAAATGCTTAAACATTTTTAAAAAAGAAGAATACATTCATTTTCTAAATACAGAACAGCATAAAACATTTTAACACCACGTTTATATTTTAAGAGTTTTTAACTCGAGTTATAGGAGTTTAAAACGGTGCCTCATATACGTTCATGATGTCCGTGAGCACGAACAGCCAATGAGCTGCTCCCCTCGCCAACCAATCAGCACTCAGTAGCAGTAATGCTAGCCTCCTGCTGCCCAAAACCCGTTTGCTGTAGAAAAAAAAATATATAGACAAGTTTTCCTTGTTTTTTTTTCAGTGAAATACATCCTTCTACTTTCTAACATTAAATGAAAGTTCGGGGCAAGTGATTAGAAACTATTTTAACTTTTTATTTTTAGCTGTTGAGCTCCGTTTACTCTCATTCATTGAGGACTCGCTCGCGGGCGCATTTTGGCGTTTTACAGTCCTGTTTTTGATATCATATAACTGGGGAAATAGGAAGTGGCCAGGCTCCTCATAAATCGGCTCTGTTCAGAGGTCTCTTTTAAATTATTTCTTATCTTTTGAATTTTGTTACTGTCATAAATAAACTTCGTTACTCTAATTTTTACTTTTTTAATATATTGTATTTGAAATTTCCAGTTCCTCTTTATATTGTGTGAACATTTCATGATGAATGGACCATCAGAAATTTTAAAAGCAAACTTTTCTAGGGTTTATTTTTAAGTAACATTAACAGATGTTAAATTAAAGGGCCCATATTTAAAATCCTTCTTGTATTATGTTTTCCTTTCAGGTTCATTATTAATGTTTGTCTGGGTTTATATAACACAGCCCTAATTCCATGTTACATGGCCATTTTCCAAGCTCTCTTTATCCGTCAGAATTAAACAGGCTGTTTTTGTTACTGTGCCTTTGAAACTGATATATGTAAATGTCTTCTGATATGATTGACTGCCTTGTATTGTGTTAAGGAGTCCAGGCTGAAACGCTCTTCATATCTTCAATTGTGAATTGTTGGGTCTAAACTGCTGTAGACGAATAAGGCGGCTATATGTAAATACATTTGTTTAAGTGACATCAAAAAACCACTGAATTTAAAATAGGCTGTTTTGCAGTTTGTGTTCTATATACGGACTGTATGGTTTGGGGAGTGAACAGTATGTTAAAACTTTAACACAAGCAGCATTTCAAAGAGTATGGGGAATTTGGTTTTCCATTATATGAGTGCTTTCTGAATATTTTTCCTTCCCTTATAAAGTTACTGTATTGGACACATAGTTTTCTTATGACAGTGATGATTTGTTTTCCGGCCTGAGTTGACAGTCATGTTTGGTATTCTCAAGCCTAAAGTGGACACTGTGTTTTGGCCCTACTGTTGCACCACAACAGTTTATTTTTGTTGGCTCTGTTTTGTGTTTAGTAAATGATGCAGCATGAAATCAATAGCCTTATAAACTCAAATAGCCAGGGACATACACTATCTCCTCCATATCTCACACTGCCCGGATTCATTTACATCTGGCTAGACAGTTGGCAGAGGTTTGATGGATGGCTTGTACTTTTCTCCCATTATCTGGATGCTGGTCTGAGCAGCTCTTGAGTCATACAGGCACCATGTGTGAAGGAGTGCATTTCAGGGAGTGTATGTGTCAGTGCCAGAGGGATTGTTTTGACTGCTGGACCACTAATGGGCTCATTAGGGGCTGATAGGACGCTACAGCAGAACTGTCCAGATACACTCTCATATGTGCACCCACACATATAGTTAAATAATGAGTAGAAAAGTGAAATGACCTGTACACATTTATGAGACACAACAAAAATCCTTTAGGTGGAAACCTGGATAATCATTATTCTATATTGCTGACGTTTTTGCAAATAAAACGTGGCTTATGTGAGATAATTATTCATTCTTTCATTTGAATTGCTAAAAAAATCTTAATGCAAATATTTCTGCAACATAAACAATCTTGTTACTCGGCTGTGCATAATTTATCCTTGTCTACACCAGTAGCAGCTTTAATGAATTATGATCCCCAGTGACATTTGCAAAGCTTCTATATAAAGTAGATATTAGCATTTATTATGTATTTACTCTGAATTAATCCTGTCTTAATTAACATCTCATTGGAGAGCTGGTTGAAAGAGTATTAAAATAGAATTTGAAGTTGAATAGCATCTTCTGAGGATGTAAGTGAAATATATTCTGTTGTCATCATGTCTTCATCATCGTGATGTTGATTTTGCATTTCAGACCTAACACTGAGCTGGATCTTCTTTCTGAGCCTAGACATGTGATGCTAATACGTAAAGATGTAGTCTGAAAAACTCCTGCACAATCCGAATCTGTTGTCAGAGTAGTTGTAATGCAGGCATTAGCATGTTCTACACAGAAAAAAGGATCAGAATGTGGCAATTTCTGTGTGCTCCTTTGTTTTATATCACTGTATAAAAGAAGCTCCATACCGCCTTTATTGTTGGACGTATAGTGTGGTAGTTTCTGAGTGGGTGTGCAGGACCTCAATACTGTTTTATATTAATCAGAACAGAATTCACATCACTATGGGTTTATTATGATTTCAGAGTCAGAGAGGGAATTAAAGGTGGGCCCAGTCAATATGAAAACATTGTGATACTGATATTAAGAAGTTGTAAATTCTGATATCTTATAATATTGGCTGATATAATAATGACAAACAGTTTTGGGAGTTTTAGGTAAACAGTGCTTTACTGACTGATGTAATTGTCAGTTCTTAACTGTCATATTTCTTAAAATCAAAAATAACAGAAGCTCACAATGTCTTAACACAAATGTTGCAGCCCTGTTACTTACCTCTGCTTATTAATTTTTTGTTATTAAAAAAGGATGTATTGATATGTTACATTGATATGTGGAACTGTGGGCCGATGCTGAAAAATAATATTGTACATGTATATATCCGCTGATGCCAGTACAGTTGCAAATTATAAAATGTAGAAATTGAAACATTTATTTCTGTGTGGTTACAAGTGCAGTAAAATAAATAAAATAGATATTTTAGCACAGTAACCCGGCATCACCTAAACATTCTGCTCGTCCAGCATACAATATACACATCATCAAATTCAGTGTAAAGTATCGGAATTAGATATTAAAAATCACAAAGTCTGTCTGATGCGGATATGTTGATGTCTTTTACAAGCCAGTATCTTCTGGAACTAGTATGATTCCAAACATTATTATCCTAATTTTAACCATAATGATGTTTTGTCTTCAGAATGATCAGTTCACCCTGGACATTATTAAAAGCGAGCAGATGGTGGCTGTCAGCCTAGGACTGTACATCAGAGATGACTGAACATCAGAGATGTCTGTTCAGTGCAGTATGAAACTAATTATCCATGCTTTGTCTGTGTAAATTTTGCAGATACCAATAAATCTGCTGGACCTCAGTACCGTCTGATATTATTGGCCGACTGGCTGGTCGGGCCCTTAATGAAAGGTGACTGAAATGTGAGGTATATTTTTATTTGTACATTTGCTTGCTCTTAGTGGCAAAACAAATCCAATAAATAATCTACACATTTTGGATTTGTTTTTTACATATCAAAACAAATGCGACTGCATTGAGAAATAACAGTATTAAAAGAGAAGAGTGGATTAAAAGGCCGGAATAGTGACTTTTTACTTTGGCATTAAATCAGTGCATTATGCATTGGACTACAGCTGCCACCCCAGCCCATTAGCTGTATTCAGCCAGGTCAAATAAAATGAGTGACAGTGGAAGATCCAATACATCTTTGGCTGTCATCAGTGCTGGAGCTTAGCCGTAGCCCACCTGAGCCTGTACTGACCTGGACATGACTCATCTCTGGCTGCCTATGTGAGGGCTCATTTTCTGCCAGAACACGACCGATGCTGCCAGCCTCATCCTCGCCTCCAGCCCTCCCGTAGAATTGGTGAAACTATAAACTGTTCCTCATTCCATCTTGTCTTTTTTCTCTGGCTGTCAGAAGAAGAATAAAATTGCTTCAAGTGTCGCGATTTCTCATATCAGAATGACAGAAATAGTATGAAACCGTGGTCATGGTTGCCCTGGTCATATGACAACTTAGCATGATGATTTTAGGAGAAAAATAGAAAAAATATTTTTAAAAGGCTACAAGAATTTACATTTCAACTGGTGTCTGTTATATTTCTAAGCTTTTGGAGTGAAGAAAACAGAATTGAGGCTATGGCAGTTGGGCTATGAGATTTCTGCTGCTGTTGTTTTTGCTGTTGTTTGTTTGCGAGGCGTTCAGTAGAAGCCCACCATGTTGTCATGTCTACAAAGTTGAACTTGACTTGTCTAATGCTACATGGCAAAGAGGTGTACAGTTTCAGAGGTTTTCACCTGGGATGGAGAGAGAGAGTTCTCTTCACAGTTCACTGGCTCCAGCTCCATTTCCATACAGCCTTGAAAGCTTCATGTCACTGATAACAACGCTTCCCTACAGCACATCAGATATGTGTCTGTAACTATGGGTGGGCAGTCTGGAAATACAGTATCATGATACTTAAAAGACATTTTTTACATGCAATACATATCACAAAATTTTATTTTTATGCAGTTTGATTAGTTGTAACTAACACAAAGCACTATCAGTGCTACGTGTATAAGCTGTTATCAATAATTATAAAACAATTTTTCTTCACCATTCCAAATACTGTGCTCACTTCAGTTGAACAGGACTAATCATGCTCTGTTGCACTGAAACATGTATTTGGTCAGTGTTCCTTAAGTATCAGTTTGCTGTTGTCCACCTAAGCCTGTTTTTATTATTTGACCTTGTTCACTTAAGCTTGTGACTGCCCCTGCTTATTTGCCCTGCTCCTTTGCTTAGATGCATATGAAGTATCTA